ATAAGAAAAAGAAGAAACCCTAAGAAAATTCACAGTGAAGGGTTTAGTAGAAGTTGATAGCAGCAGTCTTATATATATATTTTTTTAGGATACTTCACTGCTATACCCTTAAGTTTTTGCTGCTATTAAATCTTGTCTAGCATATATATATATAAAAGCCCTCTAACCAGTTTGGCTCAGCAGATAGAGCTTTGGCCTGTGGACCAAAGGGTCCTGGGTTCCATTCTGGTCAAGGGCAACTGCCTGGGTTGTGGGCTCGATAGGGGGCGTGCAAGAGGCAACTGATCCATGATTCCCTCTCACGTGGATGTTTCTATCTCTCTCTCCCTCTCCCTATCTGAAATAAAAAATACATATATATTTTTTAAAAAAGCCTAAGCAACTGTTACAACTGGTCAACCAGCTACTATGACACACACTGACCCACCAGGGGGCAGACGCTCACTGCAGGAGCTGCCCCCTGGTAGTCATTGTGCTCCCACAGCCAACCTCCAGCGGCCCAGCCATCCTCCCATGGTCCCTCCCCCCGGCTGGCTGGCCCCAGGCGGCCCTGATCAGGACTAGGTGAAACAGCCCTGATCAGCCCCGATCACTGGCCAGGCTGAGGGAACTTCACCCATGCACAAATTCGTGCACTGGGCCTCTAGTTTATAAGTAATGATTAATATGTACCTGTTTATGGACTGAGGTAAATTTATCTGATGTAAATTTTCTCATTTCTAGGATACTTCCTTCATGAATTGCAAACCCCAAAGATGTAAAGGCAAACTACCTGATGGTGATGATTCTGTACTTAGGATAAGCACCATTGCTTCAGCGATTGCAGATGCATCAGTGAGTACTGATCCTTCCCAACTTGCTGCCATGATCAAGGCACTTTCAAATAAAACCAGAGAGAAGACTTTTCAGGAAGATGGTGAACAACAGGACGTTTCCATTGTGTCTCATTTCATAGCTAATGATTTAGAAAAAAGTAATGGATCCAGTGCATTTGATATGGAGAAATACCTTAGAAAAACGGAAGTTAGTAGATGTGAAGGTGGACTGGGAAACTTTTCAAGAACTGGTATGTCTGACATTTGGGATTTATCTTTGCCAAAAGAACACACTACACAAGACATCCATACAGTGGACTTAGATGCTACTAGAATAAGTGTAAGGGAACCAGAAGAAAATACACCAGCTGCTTTTTATGGTGAAAACAGAGAGAGTGAAAACCAGGAATCATTTAGAACAATAGACTCTTCAGATTCAGTTATTACAAATATAAGAGAGAGTGAGAGTGCAATAGTTGATGTGAAGACATATTCCATTGACGAAAAATTACCAGATACTGGTAACAGTGAAAAAGCTACCTCAATATCCATTCCAACATCTAATAGTTATTCATTAGTAAAGGGCCCCTTTTCGCTGTCAGAAGAGTGTGAAGAAATGCAAACTAATAGAGAAAATCAGAGGCAAAATGAATATGTTAGTGAAACAAGTAGCAGTGAAAAACATGTGACTTTTGGAAAACATTTCTTAATCTCACCTAAAAATGTTGGTAAGTATCAGAATAATTGATCACATTTCACAAAATTATAGAGAGTAGGGTTTTTTCCTGTTCTCATTAGAAACTACATCTTTCTGATAGATTTGAAAAATTCTTCTCCTGAGCATGGTGGACATAGTTCAGAAGATGATCAGGATAGCTTCAGACCTTCCACCACTCCACTGAGTCATTCTTCTCCTAGTGAAGTTTCTGGAACGAGTTTATCAGGGTAGGTGCTTACCTTTTTTTTTTTTAAATAATAAAAATACATGCTCAATATAAGAAAAAAGTACATAAAAGAAAATTAGTTATAGATTCATTGCTCAAAGGTAATTATTGTAAATATTTTGTCGATTTCATTCAAGCCATTTTTTGTGCAAATTTGCTATACTCTTGTTTTTTCTGCTTATAATAATTCCCTGTATTTAAAAGAAAATTAGTAATGTTACAGATTGTGTAATGAATCTGTCGTGGTTTACATGCTCCTGGTAGATACTTACTACATTGTTTCTGCCATTAGAGTGATATTGAGATGAATAAATTTGCTCATAAAATTTTTTCTCTGTTTTCACTGATTTCCTTAGGATAGCTATCTAGAAATGAAATAACCAGGTTTGGAGTAAGTATATTTGAAGGCTCTCTCTATTAGCAAATTATTTCTAGAAGGGTCTTAAAGACTTGCACCCTTATCTTCAGTGTATGATGAGAGTGTTGATCTCACTGTTTTCTTATTAGCATTTTAAATAGCAATAATTTTGGATTTTTTTCTCTTATAGTATTCACTAGGGGCCTGGTGCATGAAATTTGTGTACTGAGGGCAGGGCCCTCAGCCCGGCCTGTGCCCTCTCATGGTCTGGGACACCTCAGGGGATGTCTGCCTGCCGTCTTAGGCCCAATCACCCTGGGATCGGGCCTAAGCCGGTGGTCAGACATCCCTTTCACAGTCTGGGGCTCTCGCAGTCTGGGGACCCTTGCTCCTTACCACCTGCCTGCAGTGGAGGTGGGAGAGGTTCCCACCACCACCACTGTGCTCGCCAGCCATAAGACTGGCTTCTGGCTGAGTGGCACTCGCCCTGTTGGAGCGCACTGACCACCAGGAGGCAGCTCCTGTGTTGAGCATCTGCCCCCTGGTGGTCAGTGCATCATAGCGATGGGTCATTCTGCCAGTCATTCTGCTGTTCGGTTTATTTGCATATTAGGGTTTTATAAGATGGGTAAATACTTTTTCAAGAGTTAGAATAAGAAACTTATTTCACAGATTTTATGACAAGTTTATCAGAGTAGGCATAAAGTAACTTAACCTTCAAGTTATAGGAATTTTCTAAAGTTTAATTTTTTGAAAAGGCGTAAGTTAACATTCAAAAATTATGGACATATATAGATATATGTATGTATCTTACCTAATAATAGACAAACATGTAAATTGACCATCCCTCCGCTACGTTCACCAGTCAATCAGGAGAGCATGCAAATTAACCCAATAAAGATGGCGGTTAATTTGCATACTCAGGTGTGGAGTGAAGATAGAAGGCTCTGGCTGGAGCAGCGAAGACTGAAGGCTGAAGAGGCTTTGCTTCTCCACTGCGGCTGGAGTGAAGGCCTGGGTCCTGGGTGCCGGAGGAAAACCGGTGCTGCAGCCAGGGGAAGGAAGGCCTATTGCATGAATCTCTTCATGCAATGGACCTCTAGTATATATATAATTTTTGACAGTAAATTTATTGCTTTATCAAATATAATATATGTGTATTCATGGATAAACAAAATTAGATTTACAGCTAAATAAAATAAATATAAGATTAAACCCATAATGTAAACTTATAAGAATAAACTTTTGTGTACTCACAACTATAAACCTACTTTTGCCCACCCCTGTCTATTGCAGAGTCTGAAGATTAATAAGATTGTAGGCAAAACAGGATTGGCTTTTGCTAGTGTAGATAATGTTAAATAACAGAATGGACACCTCTAGTCACGAGGTGTTTTCTCTTTCAGGTATGCTTCAGAATCTTTTGGCTCAGCTCATCATCAGACGCCCCCCTGTGAGAGTGAGTTGTCTCAGTTGATGTGTCCACAGGCTAGTGTGAGTAGGCTCACTTACGTGTCTGAACACGAGAGCACCTGTCCCACCATGGCCTCAGATCATGGCCTTGAGGACTGCAAGGTGGGTAGCACTTTTATTATTTCTTTAGTAAGACTTCTGGCTCTAAAGTGTTACTGATGTAGGGTTCAGATTGAAGTTCCTGCCTGTATACTTTCTGTTGCCATTTTTATCTATAAAATTGTGGGTAGCAGGGGTACAAGGAAGGAAGAGAGAGGGAGGGAGAAAGAGGAGAGTCAAACAATTTCTCATGTTGGGTAGGCACTAGAGGTACAAATATTTTAGTATCTGCCCTTAAAGCACTCTCAGTCTGGTGGAAGACACATACATGCAAGACACACTCTAGTGAAATGCACTGTGCTGGATCTGTGCTCTGGGTATTCAGAAGGAGATAGCAAAAAGTATGACTAGGGTGTTGATAGGAGGGATAGTAATGTATTGAAGCCATCTTTTTCAGGGATACTTGGACTTAGGCAGGGAAGAAGCAGACAAACAAATGGGGGAAGGCAGGTACAGTGGGGCCTTGACTTACGAGTGTCTCGACTAACGAGTTTTTCGAGATACGAGCCTTCTCTCGGCCGATTTTTTGCTTTGAGTTGCGAGCTAAAATTCAGGTTACGAGCCAGCTTCAGATACCCCACTGCTAGTTGGCACAGCAAACGTCACAGTGAACGCCACAACATCAACCCAGCATCACGTGTCTCACTCGTTCACTTTTGATTTGACATACGAGTAATTTGAGTTACGAGCTCCGTCATTGAATGAATTAAACTCGTAAGTCAAGGCCCTACTGTAATTGTAAATTTTGAGGGACTCCAAGAAGTTTGGAATGGCTGCAGTGAATCATGTACTTGGGGCAAAGAGGAGAGGCCAAACCAAGAAGCATCTTAGATGTAAAATTTGTGATTTTGAAGGTTCTTAAGCAGAACACTGACATGATCTGTGTTGATGTTTTCAAAGCTCATTGCAGTAGCAGTATAGAGAAGTCATTGAGAGGGGCAAGATGAGGCCCATTTCACTGAAAGCTGTCTTTTTAAACATTTTTATTATTATTTTTTTAATTTAAATTCTTTACTGTTTAAAGTATTACATATGTCTCCTTTTCCCCCCATTGACCTCTCCCTGGCCCCTCCCACCTCCAGCACATGCCCTCACCCCCCTACTGTCTGTGTCCATTGGTTATGCTTATATACATGCATACAAGATCTTTGGTTGATCTCTTATCCCCACCCCTGCCTTCCCTCTGAGGTTTGACAGTCTGTTTGATGCTTCTATGTCTCTGGATCTATTTTTGTTCATCAGTTTATGTTGTTCATGACAGCTGTCTTTTAGATGATGCTTTTAGATGTTGAGTCTATGTTCTTAGCATAGTGGTTAAGAGCTGAGTTGTGCAGTCTGATGGCTTCTCTGCTACTTTCAGACAGATACAATCTCCTCAAGCTGTTTCTTCATCTGTAAGGAGGGACAGTGATGTGAGAACAGGGCTTGGGAACGTATCACTGAATACATATAGGCTCTTATTATTTTTATTTATTGATTGATTAAGTGATGGATGGATGGATGGATGACTGGATGACTGGCAAATAATTTATCAGAGTCTTTGTTTCTAAAGTTTTGATCCAGAAGAAATTTTCAGACCAAGTACCAAAAATAATCAACGAGGTTAAGTGCATCTTAAGTTGTGTGTAACATTTGTGGATGTCACCCCTAAGGTGATGTATTATAAAGAAATGAATATATTAACATTGACTAGGGCTATTACTTCATACTTAAGAAAACAGAACCACATAACTTAGATATTTGAAAAGACTTTGGTGCTCATAAAAATTATCATTTTTAAATATGACAGCAGTATCTATATATATAAAAGTGTCATATGCAAATCTACTGGTCGGCGGGACATCCGGTGAGCTATGACATGCACTGACCCCCAGGGGACAGACGCTCAATGCACGAGCTGCCCACAGGCCCTGATGTCCTGATTGGGGCCTCCCTGCTGACCTCTTGGTTCTTCCTCCTAGCAGGCAGGCTCCGATTGCCTGATGGGGAATGAGGAACCGGGGGTGGGTGGTGATGGACGCAGGCAGCACTGGGGCCCTGATCGCCCTACCAATTGCCCCCCACACACAGGGCGCTGGCAGGGAGTAGGGCCGGCTGCCAAGGAAGATTGGCCCTGATCGCAGGCCAGGCCTAGGGACCCTACCCATGCATGAATTTTGTGCGCCGGGCCTCTAGGAGACAAATAATGAGGGTGGGGGAGAGAGCCTTTGAACTGGTTTTGTGTTGATTCTTAACCTCATGTTGATGTAATTTGAAAGCTTGCTCACTGCCCACCCCCCGCCCCATTCCTTTGTTACTAATTTACTTAAATTTTTGTTGTACAGTTTAGAAGGAAAAAATTCCTTAAATTTTACAAAATTAGTTGTCTCTTCTCCTTTATGTAAATTTTTTCAGAAGTAGAATTGGTATATACTTCCTCTTTAATCTCCTCATAATTATTTCTATAAAATAATGAATGCAAACTTCTTTAAAACTTAATCCTGCATTTCATAGCTGCCAAACTACATTTTTTGTGTGTGTAAGCAGACTTTTTTTCAGAGTTAACATTGTTTAGGTCTGTTTATTATGTTATTTGGATGTGTAATAATCTATGGGTTATTTCTAAAAAAATTTTGTCACTCAGCATGATATCACCAGTGAGTTGAGCACCACAATTATTCGAGGAAGTCCAATTCCACCAGAGGAACAGGCTGTGGAAAAGTTGAGAGAAAAAGATTCATTTCAAGGTAGAGGAAGAGAAACATTGTCACATATTATCCAGGAAAAGTCAGATACAGAAAAAATGACTGAAACTACTTCTCTGAGTAGCAAACCTGAAGATGTGAAACCTACGTTTAGATTTAGTAAAGATCTTTCCTCCAAAAGTGAAGATCCATCGGAAACCACTGCCACCGGTTTGACTACAAACTCCAGTGAATTGGACCAAGTCAGCCTGGCTCATCTGAGCAAGTCAGGTCTCAGGCACCCGATTGTGTCAGCATTGCCACGCCTCCCTGTGACACTCCAGGCATCTGGGAACGAAAGTGAGAGAGTAACTTCAGAAGATACGGCAACTACCAACAGTGCATTGAGTGGCCAGGTTCCTCATCAGATGGCCTCTGGAAGCCAGTGTGCCTCTATTCCCAGCTCTGTGGTTTATGGCTCTGCTCTGGACATGCAGAACATGCCCACCTCAGTTCCTGCACTGTTGACTCGACATTCTTTAGCCACAGCTCCCTTTGCCCAGCAGTATTTGGGAATACTACCTGCAGCTGGAAATTCTGCTTTGCCTCCGTGCTATACTGGTAGCACCACCGTCTGTGGGTTCTCAGGAAGCTGTTCTTATCCTGCTGTCACAGGCGAGCACGTTCCGAACTCTGTGGCTGTGGACATTTGTCTAGGACAAAATATCACCTCTGGATTGATGGGTTCTTCTTCCCTTTGTAACCCATATTCTAATACCACACATCAGAATCTTCTAACTACAGCAAAATCTTTTCCTGTGCAGTCTGTTGGTGCAAATTATGGCATTGAACCATGGGATTCAGGAATGATGTCAGGATTTGGTGAGATGCTTTTTCTGTTATTGCCTGTTGTTGCTTGCTATTACTTAAAATTGAGTTTTCTCACATGACACCACAAAAACTAGTTTTGTTTCAAGGAGATAATTATGGGCCTGAGTTTCTCATAAATTTTTTCCTTTGTCCTGGAATTTGGAATATTTCTGGGCAAGGGTCCCTGAAGTGGCCTTAGAAAAATATGAAAACTTATGTAGATGAAACTCCCAATACCTTTGTCTTCCTATCTGTTGTGTCTGCACTGTGTTCTGTTAGTCTTTCAACTAGAAGATGTCCAGTGTAGAGTCACCTCCCTGTAGGAGTGAGTCTCCTTCCAGCTTTTAAGTCTTGGAGGCTTACTGTAGTGAGAGAGGGCACCCTTCCGCTTCTGTCTGTAGGAGCGGAACTGCCCCCGATTCTCTTGTTGACGGTCACTCTGCTGAGCAGAGCTGGGTGCTGTGCTTTTTCTGACCCAGTACACACAGCCACTGGAGTGCTGTCTTTAAGGAAATTCCAGAGTAACTGCGTAAGGGTGGTGAAAAGACTGTTGTATTAAAAATCCAAGTTAGAACCTCTATCATTTCTTACTAGGGTAGGCAGTGGCTTATATGGGGGCGGGGGGGAGGAAGAGATTAGTAATAGGTAGTAACATCTGAGAGTTGATTAGCTTTAAATTGTGAGCTTGATCAATTTTAATTGTTCTTATTTGGCTGGATTCAGCAAGAAATAATTATTGGCCAACCTATTCTGAGGCTTCGAGAATATCAAGGAGCCTGAAGACCTGGAGCACTTTATACCATACCTCTGGGTATAAATAAGTAGTCTTCTATAAAACTTCCATTTCACTAGCTGTGCATTTAATCAGGTATTCACTATAACTTGCGTTTTTTAAAATACATATTTTTATTGATTTCAGAGAGGAAGGGAGAGGGAGAGAGAGATAGAAACATCTATGATGAGAGAGAATCACTGATTGGCTGCCTCCTGCACACCTCCTACTGGGGTACACCCGCAACCCAGGCATGTGCCCTTACTTATGTGGGAGTCAAACCTGGGACCCTTTAGTCTGCAGGCCGATGCTCTATCCACTGAGCCAAACCAGGTAGGGCATAACTTGCATTTTTGACTATGCTTTATCTTTACCCAGGGAATGTAAGAGTACCTGAGGAAGTGAAGTTTCCTCACGCTTGCTGTGTTGGTATTGCTTCACAAACCCACCTTAGTATACTTAATCCAACCACCCGCTGGCTGCAGGTCAGCATAGGAGTTCTCAGTGTTAGTGTTAATGGTGAAAAGGTAAGTTTTTATTAACTTTCTCTTTTGACTTCACAATTGCATTTTG